GAATATAAATGTAACTCACAGAAATGTGCACACAACATATGACACGAGTTGTACGTAGACACACACAAGGCAGAGACACTCGAGAACTTAAATCCTGTGTGTATTTCACAGTTTATCAGTGCCTCAGTCAAAATCTTTTCTCACACCACACAACCTTCCAAATGCTTTAAAATGTGGGGGAAAAAGATGTAGAGGAGGGGAACAAGGGCCTAAGAATTTCCATGAAACGCCAGGAGAACATCTCTTACCACTGACTGGAATAGATTAATTTTCCCCATTTCATATTCTAATTATAATTCCTTTTCCCACCGCCATCCTCAGTCCTCATTACAGCTGGAAGATTGTTCTGCGAAAGCCAGACCTTCATCTTCTCTTCCCAAGAGTTTTGTCATGGAAATGAGTTTTGGAATCTGAAAGAACCCACATTTTTGCAAATATCGAATGTGCGGAGATAACCCTTTCATGACGGCCACCAAGGAGAGGCTTCTGAAGGGTCTGTCTCTCCTCACAATGTGCGGACCCCTTGGCGAGAGGGGTACCTGGGCCTCTAGTCCAACAGCCACCCCCTACCTGCCCCAAAGAAAAGGACTGATCTTTTTTCTGTCTTTAAGCAAACTGAGCAAATAGGAAGCCAAGGTGGAAGGTGAGAAGCCCTGATTTTAGGGAGTCAGACGATGCAGCTTCATGCGCTACCTCAGGCAAGCTCCGCAGCTGCTCGAAGCCTCAGTTCCTTTACTCTTATGACCCACAGAGTCACTGACTCATAGTAGGTGTAAATTGAATATCTGTAGGGTGGGCCAGTGCAGTGACTGGGTAGATGGATGGATAGAAGGAAGGGAGGGAATGAAGGATGGGATGGCTGGATGATGGACAGATGGGATGACAGATGGTATAAATCAGCAGTCTGACAGAAATATAAAGCAAGCCACGTACGTAATTTAAATTTTTCTAGTAGTCACAGTTTAAAAAGCAAGTATAAATAGGTGAAATTAATTTTAAAGACATTTTATTGAACCCAATATATTCACAGTATTATGATTTCAACATG